CTCTGGCCTTCCCAGCTCCCCTCAAATGTCCTAACCAGTCTCACCTCTGCCTTTCCTCAGTTGTTGCCCCACCTGCCAAGGTCTCCTGCTAAGTCTTATCTTCCCTTCAGGGTTACCCATACGCCTTACTTTCTACCAGACGCCTGCTCTGAACACCTCTTAAGGCCACAGCATGTAGTGTTGAACCACTGACTTGGCCCCCGCCAAGCCTGCTATGTGTTTGTTTAAGTACAAGACTGTCCCTCTCTGGATGTAAACTTCTTAAGGACATAGGCCACGTCTTTTAATCTGCATCAGCATCAGCATCACCACTTACTGGATATCACCAGGTGAAGGCTTGGTGTACATGCTTCATAGCCGCCAGTCTGTTTCATTCTCCCCTTAATCTCCTGAGTAGTCAGGGATACTCATCACCACTTTTAGAGATAAGGAAACTCACCACACACTTCACTTGCCCAAGGCCTAGCCCAGTGCTAGAGAATGTAAATGTGAGTTGGCAATAATGGTGGGGGGCCAGGTGCCAGCGGGGAGCCCATTGGCCTCCCTGCCCCTGCTGCCTCATTTGGTCCTTGTTTTCTGCCACACTGACCTTCTCTAAGCTCCACCTCAACCCTCTAGAGGCCTAGAACAGTCTCTCTCTTCCCCTCTTCCTACCCGAATTCCCCCTCCAGCTCCAACCTCCTCCAGGAAGCCCTCCAAGAATACTTCGGTTCCCCTGCCCCCTATGGTAACTGGCACCCAAGACTACATTTTATTAACAATTATTATGTGTTGAGGGCTTAAAATGTGCCAGACATCTTTTTATATGTTATATCATTAATCTTCTCAATAAATCAGTGACGATCACCCCACCCCAGTCCAGATAGGGAAACTGAAGCCCAAATTGATCGAGAAGCTTTCCCAAGGTCACAGAGCTAGCAAGTAGCAGAGGCATGACTGGAACTCTCATTGGGCTGACTCCTGCAGGGCCTGAATTGACTCCCTGCAGTACTTAGCACTCAGCGAACCTCCATCAGGTTCCCGGCCAGAGAACCAGCTGAGAGCATAGCCCTGTCCTGTGCTTCTCTGGAGTCTGCACACCCTACCCTGGCCTGTGCTTGGTCCACTTCTGAGCCCAGGAAGCAGCCTAATATAGAAAGTCCAAGTTCCAGATCTGTGAGCCGGAGGGGCATCGAGCCCTAGTGGGGTAGAAGCCTTCTAATCTGGGCCAGGAGGAGCTCCAGTGGGCTCTTAGTGTGTCCAGCCCACCTCTGCACCATCCTGATAATTTGGCCCATCTTCCAAAGGGGGCCGGTCCCCCTCCCCCCCTCCCACACACACCCCACCCTGCCCCTGGCCCCTCCTGCCTAGGACAGAGGACCTTTCAGCCTTCGCTGCCACCACGACCACCTTCACGGGAGGGGCTGTTTTTCTAAACTTTTGATCTTGAGGTGGAGACAGACTGCAGGTGTGGAAGGGACCTGGGCCCGTGTGATAGGATGTCACTGTGACTACTATGCGGTATGTGTCCCTGCCCTGGGTGGCTCCAGGCTAATCGAAGCCTTTCAAGATGAGAGGGCCCTCTTGGCATAAACATATCTGAGTAGCAGCCTGTGTGTGTCCAACTGTGTCTGCCTGTGCTCAGGTGTATGCTTGTGAGTGTGTGTGTGTGGTTGCTCTGAGTTCCCCACAAGTGCCTCTTTGTCTTAACTGCTCTGACTCCCTTTTCCATCAGAAGGCCCCTGTTTGATTATTTTTATAGGGTGTTTCAGCCTTTTTTCTCCAGTTCCCTCTGCCCCTCAGTGACTATTGCAAGGCCCAACTTACCTTATTTGGCTTAGACAAGAATGGCAGCTGGGGACTCCGATGTCAGTGCATAATTCCTGGCTCTGAGGCACTAGTTATCTGAGTTTCCCCATTGGGAGTCTCCCCCCAAAATGGGGAGGAGAAGCCAAAGTGAATAGTGTCACTAGAAAGCTGAGCGTAAGCTACTTAGCTTCCATCTTCTTCCCTTTCCCCACTGGAAACCAAAGATTTCTTATTCTTAATGCTTTATCAGTTAACGTCTTTGATTCCGTGTCTGTTGCCTCATCTGTAAAATGGCAATAATAACAGTATCTCAGAGTTGAGGATTATATGAAATATAAAGCTTCTAGACTAGTGTCTGGTACATAATAAAAGCTCATTAAATGTAATGATTACAAGTCTTTGTGGAGCCCTTTGCTATGCCCAATGTACTAGGCTCCAGAGCCACCTTCCACCAGATCCCTTTCCCATCTCTTTTTCCCGTTTCTCTTTAGGATGTTTTGTAAGTCACGAGTTGGAAGGGGTCTGGGAAGCCCCCAACAACAGAAAGAATCCGTTTCTGCCTTGGGCTAGAGACTGCTCTCTGGGACATGGGGCTCCAGGGCTATTCTTTCTGGAAGTTGAGCCCCTCCTTCCACACCCCCACCTCCCATATTCCGGATGGCGTTTGCCGGGAGAAGGTCCGCTTTGTCTAAAGCGCCCTCTACTGGCCATTGGCAAAAGGACTTGTGCCAGGATGGAAGCCAGTTAATAAAAGGGGGAGAGTTTTTAAATGAGAGGGGAAGGGAGATTTCCGCCAAATGTAGAGCCTAGAGTGCTTCCTTCTCACCCTCAATATATCTGGCTTGGAGTGACCCTCTTTCCCCCCACCCCCAACCTGTGAACAGGTCAGAAAGATAGCTTCCTTCTCCCCATGAGGGCAGGAACAAGCCGCCAGCCACAGCTAACAATCTGCTCCCAACAGCTGTGGATAACAGTAGGAAGGAGAGAGGCTAGACAGTGTGCAGAACTTCCTGGTAGCAAAGCATGATGGGGGAGTGGGGTTAGGGAGCTCTTGTTTAGAAGAAGGTAATCACAGGGGGAGGTCCCTCTGGAAATGTCAGATCAGTAAGAAAACTGTTTCTGGAAGGCCAAGGCACTCGGAAGGTGGTGGTTCATAGCAACTTTTTTTTTTAAGGTGATCGGGCTTGTTCAGCTCGTTTCTTATACTGCAAGATCTCCTCTGCCAAAGCTCCAGGTCCAAATGCACTGACCAGATATTTGACACATTTCTGTGGGAGGAATTAAAAAAAACCCAAACACTCCAGTTGAAGCAGGAAAAACTGGTTAGACTGCTGGAAGAACCTTTCTGAGGGAGGCTGAGTCTCTGGCGTGGGAAGGATGCCCCTGGGGCCAGCCTGTAGAACAGATCTTCCAGGGTGGAAAACTGGCAGCCAACAGCTCTGGATGCTTTGGGGCTTTCTAGGGAAATGGTGGGTCCCAGTGGGGAAGAAGGTAGAGGGAAAGCGGCCGCAGTGAAATCGTGGATAACTTTTATTGCACTGTAGAGAACGTTGTTGTCCATAGATTACATGCAGCTAGTTCCATGTACAGGGCCCAGCAGCCTTCATGGAGGGTGGGGAAGGGCAGAGTAAATACACAGCAGTGCTACTTTAGTGTTTGGTGGGCTGCCTGGTAGGTGGAGGCAGGGGCCTCAGAGACTCCAGGCTGAGCCCCTTTGGCCTGACCTGGCTGGGCCCCTCGGAGATGCCTTCCTAAGGGAAGGACAGGGAATTCACTCTGGGCCGTAGCCAGTGTCCAGAGGATCAAGGCAGGGGAGGAGGCAGAGTAGATGGTGTGAGACAGAGAAAGGGTGGGGGAGGGAGAGAGAAGAGATGAAAACAGATGGTCAAAAGGAGAGGACGAGACAAGCCTGAGAGAAATCAGTGAAGAAGCTCCAGATTCTATCCCCTTCCCTGCCCCACTTCTCCCCAGGTTTTGGCTTTTGGAAAGTTCCAGCAGTTTGGTGATTTGTGGGAAAGGCAACTGATTCCAGTTCTGCTGCTTTCTTAACACAACCTCCCTCTCCCTCCCTCCCCACTTCCCCCAAATACAGCTGACCCTTCAATAACGTAGGTTTGAACTGCACAGGTCCACATATGTAGGTGTTTTTTAATACATAGCTGGCCCTCTGTATGCATCCATGCATTCAACCAACTTTGGCTGCAGAGGGCCACCGGTATGCACTGTTCTATGTCATTTTATATAGGGGACTTGAGCATCCATGAATTTTACTATCAGTGAGGGGGCGGGGGGGGGCGGTCCTAGGAACCAATCCCCCATGGATACCTAGGGGCTGGTTTTGGGGCAAAATTTATACGTGGATTTTCAACTGCATGAGGGTCAGCACCCCTAACTCTCATATTGTTCAAGGGTCAACTGTATACACTTTTCTCGCTTGTTTTTCTTTTTCTTTGCTCAAAGGCCCTACACTACAGAGGTGTCAGAACTCACCTTTGGTTAACAGCTTGGACTGCTTTCTCCTTTCCTTCTCTCCAACTGTTTAGGGTCCCCTTTGCACAGGTTAGAAAGACTCCTTTTCTGACCCTGAGCCCACTAGTAATGACACCGCACACACGGACATGCATGCACCCACTAATGGTCCTACCCCGAGCAGCTCAATGCGACCTACACACGTCTGCGTACACACCCCTATGCAGGTAGCCTCCACGAAGACATGGGTGATGGGCCCAGGGCATGTGGGCAGATGTCTCCCAGGGTGGTGGCCAAGGCAAAGGTGCCCTGAAGCAGGGCTCCTCCTCATCCCAGGAGGCAATCTACACCCTGCTGAGAACACCAGGGCAGGAACTTGTATTTCAAACCTGGGAAGTAATTGGGGCAAGTTGTGATCTTGGGAGAAAACAGGAGAATGGAGAGACTTGCCTTGAAAAAAAAAAAAAAAAAAAAAAAAAACCAGAGAAGGCCCAGATTATGAGTGGAAGAGGGGGACAGAAAGAACAGAATTACTAGAGGAAGGCCCCGGCTGCAGGCCTGGTGGCTAACCAGTGCCTTGCCCGCAAGCCCACACACTCAGTCCACTCACGCACCACAGAAAGCGCCCCTGCAGGAGCCCCCACGGTCCTGCTGGCACCTCCTGCCCCCAGCTCCCCAGAGCAGAGCAATCCTTCTGCTTTAATTCCCCCTCTCCCCCACCTGGTGACACACACAGGCCCCGGTGTATAGAGGACGTTTAATATTTCTGTGCTGGTCAAACGGAACACAGGTGGGGAGTACACAGGGGAGGGGGCGGAGGGCCCCCTGCCTCTCGGGAGGGGTGCCTTGTGAAGGGGTGTATGTGGGGGTTTCTTGGGAAATAGTCCAAGGAGTATTCTCAGCAAAGGGGCCTGGCCTGGGGTGTCAAAAGCATCCAAGACACCCAGTCCTTGGCCTCGAGTTGAGATCCCCCATAGGGGGTCTGTGGAGTCTCGCTTTTTTTCCAGCTCTTTTGCTGGAATCCACACTCCCAGCATGATGGGGGACTTGGTCCTAGAAAGGGGTCTGGATAGCCCCCAGGAAGCAGCCCAGGGTTGGGACTAGGGCTCACGTGCCCACTGCCCGAGGGGATGTGGGAGCTGAGGGTGGCCCACCTCCTTCCCGCCCCCTGCCTTCTTTTCTTCTCCTAGGCTGGGCAAGAGCAAAGGGGAGGTGAGCAGGGCCCCAGCCCCTACTGAGTCCCAGGGTCCTCAGGGTGGGGTGGAGAAGGGGTGGAAAGAGAGGGTCTTGGCCACCAACAGACACTGTAAACTTTGGTTTAAAACAATAACTTAAGTGGAGGGAGGGCTTCCAGCCTGGGGCTGGGCTAGGGAGCAGGAGGAGCAGGGGATTGTAGGAGGCGACAAAGGAAAAAGCCAACAAAAAGTTTTGGTTTTTGCTTCTGGCATAAGAAAGGTCTTTGGTCATCCGTTTAACTGGAGGAATAGGAAAGGGGTGCTGAGGAAGACTGCGGGAGGACTGCAATAGGGGACCTATAGGCTGGGGGTGGGGGGTGACCTGTTGGGTCACAGCAGCCACCAAATGAATCCCTCCTTCCTTTCAAGCCTGCTTTCAGCCTGGCCTTTCCTCCCGTGAAGTGGAAGGATGCCTCCGGCAGTCCTGGCACCACCTCTGCCCCAACTCTAGCCTCAAGGGTAGCTGGGCTCCCTTCAGTGGTTCCACCTCCAGAAGTCCGACTGACACCGACCTCTGCGGAGGAGGCAGGCACTGGGCCTCTTCCTATGCTCCCTGGAGTTCCGGGCAGCCGGAAGGGTGTCCAGTAAATGAGGTGGAGTCCCAGTTCAGCCTGGGTCCTACCTTAGGTCAGGAGGAGGGGCTAGAGCCAGGTGGCCCTGCTCCCATGGACCCCTCGGGGCACACGGCTCATGCCGCCCCAGCAGTGGCTTTTGGGTGGGCACAGCCGAGTGGGCTGGCTTCTTCCGCGGATGGTTGGCAACTTCCGTTCCTCCATCCAGGCCAGGGCAGGGGTAGGAGTTCAGGGAGAATTATTTCTTCACAGTATGGAAAAGAAGGTGGAAGGGAGCACAAATTAGGGGAGTGTGTGTGTGTGTGTGTACGCGTGTATGTGTGTGTGTGTGTGGAGGGGGAGAGCTCTGGCCAGAAAAACACTGCCAGAGCCAGGTGCGAGGGGCCCTGGGTTTGAGAGGCTTAGCCCCGCCTGCGGGTCTCCATGGCGCTGAGGGGCCCTGTAGGGGAGAGCTGGTGGGGGAGGAGGGCCCTGCTGCTGCTGGTGGTGGCGGGAGAGGCGGTTTTCAGAGATTTTCAGATGTAGGGGAAGGTCTGAGGAAGGTCTGAGGAGGGGTTTGGGCCCTCCGTGTCCTCTGCTGGTCCCGGACCAGGGGTTCTGTGTCCCCTTGGGGGTGGAACCGTTCCTGCCCCAAGCGTCTGTCAGTAAAGTCACATGGGGAGTTGTTGACCCAGGCCCCCCCCATCTGAGTCCTGGAAGTGCCTTGAGGTTTGGGCGGGGCTGTGGAGTGGGGGTGGATGGGGCCTGGGTTCCAAGAGGGGTCTCACCCCTGCCCTGCCTGCCCCGAGAGGCCCTTAGGAGAGTTCCTCTCCCGGCAGCTCCTCCTCCAGGTCCCTGTCTTCTGCAGGCCCTGTGGTGCTGGGGTTGGGGGGACCCAGGGCGGGGCCGGGCCTTCTGTCTTCCTCTGCCTCGGCGGGCTCCTCTTTCACCTGCACCTGGTGGCTGCAACAGAAGGGATCATGTGGGCGCCCTGGAGGCCTTTCCCTGCTCCCCATGAAAACTCGGAATTTGGGGGCAAAGCAAGAGTGTTCACAGTTTGCCTCCGCAGGACCCCCTCATCCCTGAGCCACTGAGGTCTGATCTATCTCCCCCAGGGCTCTCTTCAAAGGAAAGGGGCTGTTGGGATCGACAGAGATTGCCTTTGGGAGGAAGAGACAGGGGAGATGAGAGAGCAAGGAAGAAGGAAAAAGAGGAGGGAAATCGAAAGAAGGAGAGAGGAATGAGAAGGGAGAGAAGAGGAGATCGGGCTGAGGCGGGGTGAAGGGGGGTGGGGTAAAAGCAGGAGGAGAGAGGAAAGAGAGCCACATGCCCTGGGAAGAGGTATGGTGGGTGTGATAAGATCTCACGTGCAGTGAGATCTCCCTCCCTGAGGTCTGTGGGCACTGGGCGGGGGGTCCATGCTGTGTGCTCACCTGTACTGGGGTGGGGAGAGGCGAGGGGGGCTGCTGCTGCCATTGCTGGGGAGCGGCTCCCCCGGGGCACCCACGTCGTCATGGCTGAGGGGCAGGAGGCTGCTGGCAGATCCAGGGTTCAGCATGCCAGGGCTGTTGAGGAGGGGGAAGCTGCTCTCGGCCAGGGCGGCCTGGAGGGCACAGGGTCACCCCTGTCAGTGGGCTGCACCCAGTCAGGTGCTGTCC